ACCACCGAGATCTACACTCTTTCCCTACACGACGCTCTTCCGATCTAGTCTTTTATCTACAATTTAGTTCTGCACACAAATGCCCATCTTTACAGTTCTAAGTCTGCAAAGCAATTGGAGAATTACTGACTTTACTCAATATTTTCACAATTACTGGATCTGCTAAGAAACCTAACACTCTTCTACCCAGACTGGGCGAGCTATGTAGAGAGGATTACTTTCGGCGAGCTACGGCAAACTTGGCTGGAGTTGCCGATGAAAACCGTGACTGATATGGTGACCTCCACTGATAAGGCCCCGAATTTCAGTGCTTCGGTCAATTTAATTTAATTTTGTTGAAAGCTCTTTTCGTATCGGAGACTGCGAAATCCCTAGCTGCTCAGTGACTTAGGCTAACTCGCTTATGTGTTTTTAGCACACACTAAGCATGTGATAAATACATTCGAAGGCACTATAAAAGATCCCTAAGGACGTTTGTGTCAAATGGCGCCACCAGGTCAGTACACATTCTTCGTCGACCGAGGTATTGAGATTGCCGGCTTCGAGTGCTAGACAGCGTGCTTTTTTTACGGGAGTGTCGTCTCTGGCGTTTGTCTTGTTCAACTTGATTCCGGGAAACCAATTTTTCCACCCCTGACAGCGACGCTGTCGTGTCCTGACAACAGTCCGAACGTCAAATTTGACGATGTCCATCACGTGCTTCACGACAGGCTGGAAGTAAGCGCGGTGACTTGCGCGTTGACTAAATTATAGTGGTGGTGGCGCATCTACCGCACTCGCTTCTTTCCTTCTACCGTGGCCCGGTTTCATAACAAACCCGAGAATTTCGCAGGTACGAGGGGACGCAGGTGACTGCTAGGACGAAGATGCGCACTAGAGCGTACCACCACAAAAAACACTTTACCAGGAATGCAAGAGAATGTTCGCGTTCCAGGTATTTTTTATCGATAAAGAAGACAGATGATCGAACACCGGAACAATTTGTATTTTATTCTGAGCTTTCGGACTTTTACCGGAGTCCATCGTCAGAGATGGGCAGCAGCAACAAAAGAGTGGCTTGTTATAGCCTGTGAACAAATAGTCAAAATTTGAGCGTGTAAAGAATCGATAACTGTTAGGTTTGGGCGCCAATTGACTACGTAAGCACCGAAAATAGGGCGATTATGGAAGATGTGGGGCCAAGTAATTAAAACGGACGTCTGAATGTGATCGTATGTAATAGCGTAAGGCTCTGTACGCCGGCGCCAGTTCGACACATCTGTTGACAGAATTCTCGTCCGTGGACTAGGCTTCGATAAATTCTCCGCTCGTCTTGTTTCCCGCGTGGGCGAGTACCTCGACGGCATGGCCTGTTTCGTAAGTGTGAGCTCAGAATAAAATACAAATTGTTCCGGTGTTCAGTCATCTGTCTTCTTTATTAGGATTTCAAAATAGCAAAACGTGGATAGGGTCAGTGGTCTGGATCGGGTCCCAGCATTCACGTTGTAAAACTACACGTCGCTACCTACGGACTATAAGACTAACCCACCTCGCAGTCCTGTTTACTGATATTGTACATCAGTATTAACTGCAGTGCGTTCCAACTCTCGGGTAGTTTGACTCCAGCGTTGGTTGCGCTGGCGACGCCAGTTCCCCGAGGGTTGGAGCGTCACAAGGGCAAGCAGTCTTTGCACTATCAGCCAGTCGGGTCCTTTTTTATCATGGATATAATTATCACAGTGACACTTCATTTGCCTGTCCACTCCGTAAGGGTACTGTGGAAGTTTTGCTTCACCGGAAGGCGCCTCAAGCATCGTCGCTGTCTGCGTCACCCCAGAAGAGTAAAGAGCGGCATAGATAGCAGACTTTATTGATACCAACAAACTTTTCTTACGGCCTATTAACTGCAACCCGTCGGTACAAAACATAGCTAACAAATAAGAAGCATACAGTAGGTTGTATTGGCATAGTGAATCAATGCGATCCCATCGAGGTCCTTTTTGATACTGCCTCTGCTGATACGTTCAAGCATGAACCTGAAACATCAGGAGAATAAGGTTCTTGTTCCAGCGATCGTGTGTACTCACTTTCAGCAAGGTCTTTTTTCCCTGCGCCAAATAGGCAAGAAGAGAGGGAAAGGTTACCGCACAAAGGGGGCGTGTAAAACGAAGGCCTCTGGATTACCAGGACGAGCCGGGGTTAACTCCGTGGTCTATCTGTTTGCACAGGTCGGGCTTGCCTCGCCCTATAGGGGTGGCTGTTTCTGAGAAGTGCAACATTCGATTGTCTGTGCCGAACTGGTGATCACCATCTAGGTGTTCCGTGATAGCACGGCGGATTTTACTGTCCTATTTTTAACTTCATTTGGGGCAGTGCTCAACTAATCTTGCTGCTGTGCGTTGATTTTCTGGGCAATATCAACTTGATGTATGTCTTTTTTGCTATCTCTGTTATGCAGCCATGGGTTGCAGTTGATAACTTGTCATAAGATTTGTTGGTATTAATAAATTCTGCTGTATTCCCTTGCTTTAATTGCTTACGATTGAAAAAAAAGTGATTAAAAGAGTATAGACTCTCGCATCAAAGCTTTGCCTTGTATCGACCACTGGTGGAAGAACCGGAACAATTTTTCGTAGTTGAACTCATCTCTCCTGAAATGGTTTCCGCATAATCTTGTACAATTTTGGGGCTTTTACTTAAGAACTCTTACGAATTACGTTACTGACAGTAATGCTCCTTAACAGGCTAACTATTTTCCACTCCGTCTGTTTCTTCACTGGTTAATCCTGCCCAAGTCTAAGTTAACTTGCAATTAGCCAAAAAACTTACTTTTTATTTTGAAGGCTTATTCTTCTCCTTTACGGAATAATCTCATGCCGAGGCAGAGCGGAAGTGGCCTACCTATCGCCGAAGGATCCACCTCTACTGCCACCAACTGGAATGCCGACTCATCTGGTATGTTACTTTATTACTGATTAATGTCCCACGAAAACACCAAAATCGTGCCTCGTCGCGTCTCTCCTTTGAAGCTCTCCCCAGTGCCTACTCGGCACTTCTTCCCTCTGCGTTTGTTTCTGGCTACATCACTGGAGTCGAGAATATATATTCCAAGTGCTCTCCATAGGGCGCATTTTGTATACAGGTGTCCTCCTAAAGACAGTCCTAAAAGGAGGCACTTTTCTCGGTTATCTAGGACTTCACGGTCTTCTACCAACCTTTTTTGATGCTTTTTCACCCGACAATCACATTTTTTATGATTGGCAAACAATTCTTTGATGTCTGCGACTTAATGCCTGCTCATCCTCTGCCTTACAGAAGGGTATAGTACTTAAAGTTGGTACTAAAGACGGTTAATTGAGTAAGCGGGAAGATGCGGCACCTTAAACGAAAACGCGACCTTTATTGGCTTCAAAGCATGTTTTTTTTCGAAAACGTTTCTGGCCGGCCTGAAAGCGCACGTTAATAAACCGGCAACTGCCTTTTAATTATTCCGACTTAGGAGTAAAGCAGAAGGCTAGTCTTGCATCCACTTCGCACCCACTTCTGACTCACTGCCACTTGATGTCATTCTTCATCTAAGACGATAACACTCTTCGCAGGCGTTTGCTACGCGTTGAAAGAAAGCTTTATGGGGCTGTTCGATCACTTCCTACGCTCTCAAGTCGGCGGGACCTGAACACTCGAGCAAGTGGCAGAGGAAAGGAAGTAGGCTGGATCCAACACAGATCCAGTACACACTTCTCTATAACTTAGGCCTTTTTATCTTCTCACTGAGATTTGGTGGATTCCCAAAGCGAGATTGAGGTAGATGTACTCAAAGTCTATCTCACTATGATCTGATTAATGTGCAAGTTACCACCGCGCCTTCGAGCTAGTTCTGGTGCCTATCATTTTCCATAAATGGGTTATCAGAACGAACCGCCACTCACCGATCGATAAAATAGTTTAATGAGTAAGGTTTGCGTAATATTTGTGGTCGCCTTGCGCGTCCACATAATGCCCCTACAGGTACTAGAGATATGGCATCCGATTGGTACATAGACTTTCTAGTCCGCACCAATATGCAGTCAACCAACCACCATTGTCTTTAGACCTAAAAGCGGCCGTTTATTTGGCCAGACAACTCTGTTATGTTGCTTTGGTCAAGAAAATAACATTTTTATGTGTCATCTTGAGCATCTGGGTGGAGCCCGTGCGTGGCCGGCTCTGTCGTGCAGAGCACGAGCAATAACCCTGTGAGTCGATGACGCGCACAACTTCTTTGTCTTTGACTGTAGATGTCTGACGATGTCACTTCGGTGAAACGGTACAGACTCGCTGCCCGCTACGCAGTCGGAGAATAGACCTACCGCATCTGGTTGGGGTGTTAGCCCACCTAGGTGTAAACATGCCTGATATGTGCCTTTCACAGTGGTCTGTCTGTACTCAGTTTTGTATTAAGCTTTGTGTTCTACATATTTTGTCCTGTATGTATGCGTACGCTACGCAACTTCATACATATATTTTTCTTTATACTAGCTGAAAAGTTCCCGAGCCGTACCCATTGTGCTAGTGGTGAACAGTTGACGAGGTATGCACCCAGATTTCGCAGCAGATCTTCGAGACGATCCAGGAAAACGTAAGCTGTGTTTGTATCTCACATCTACTTGCCCTTATTTTGATCAGGATCTGGTTGTCTGCTATCCCATTTTAAGGGTTATCTTGCCTAGTGCAGCCCACACACATTTATTTGGTAAACGATCCTAGGATATTCCTGAGGAATTTCAGTTTTAGTTTGAGTCCGTAATACTGTCCTGTCTGAAGCTGCAACTCAACTGCCGAATGATTGCTGCTCTAACCCCATTATGCTTTTTAACTCAGTCCTTCATATCGCAACAGCGCGACTCAGCTTTAGGTTCGTCGACTTGACCGCTTTTTTCTTAATCCAATCTAACACTGTTTTCCAGCCCTGAGGAGGTGTTAGAAGAACTAGCCCTTCGTTATACGTCGTGGAATCTGTCACGTATGCGAGATTCGATGCCCAGTGGTAGTCAGCCCCCGGCTACTCCAGTCCATCTGCCCTGCCCCCCTGCAGTCCTAGACGATCCTCTTGTCCGGGAGCAGAACGTATCCAACGTTTCCTTCTTTCGACTACGCTCTGCAGGCGACCTCTGCACGTCGGCGCTCAGCTTTGCCACACAGATCTCCACGCCGGATCTCGAGGCAGCAGTGTATGCTTACGTGTTTGCTTAAGTC